TTAGGTTTATGAAAAAAAAACACACACTATTTACTATATAAATTATATGCATTTAAACTAAGAACATGTATTATAATAAACCGTACCTTAGGCAAACAAATATCAATAACAACGTTGTTGCGATCCACTTCCTTGCTGTTTCGATGTCGAGAACATTATCTTGATTTTTGAGTGTATTATTCTCAGATTAGATCATCATGTATGCTATATTTCAACCCCTGCAACAGTCCCACAACCACATGCCACTACTAAACAGTTAACATTTTACACAAAACTGTTCAAAGACATTTTACTAAACACGTTTTTACCACATGTGCACAAATAGTGCCGGATTTAACCATTGTGCCGCTGTAAGCACTAAACAAATTGCCGCCTTATAATATAAATATTTTCTAATTCTAAAAAATGTTATTAAAGCATACAAATATAGATGTTTCCTTTATTACTAAACAATTTAATGATGTAAAATAAAATTATACAGCTGTTATAAAAACCATACATACATTTCATATGAAAAACTTAATGATAAAAATATTATACAAATCACAATGATAATTAAATGGACTATTGGTACATCCTCTTTTTCATTAATTTCATTTGAAAAACTTTCTGAGGAAGTAACGTTTTGAATAAAAGTGATGTCCGTAGTATTAGTACCCGAGTTTGAACAATTAGCGAACGTTTCTCGTGTAGTGTCAAATTAATTTATAATAATTTTTAGTTTATAAAAAAACTATTTTTGGGGTTTTTCGCAATAAGTTATTTAGTTTATTTGTTTTTCTCCCGCAATTTTTTTATACTCATACCCACTCAGACGTGATTGACCGTAACTCATTTTACTAGAGCTTTTATTAAAAGTCACAAATCACAATAAAAAAAAAATTAAATATTCATACACTAAAAAAATAAACACCGAACACGTTAGTCGTTACTATGAAACATCTGAACATGCGCCCGTTCGCGATCGCATCGTCTTATGATTAGGTTTTTATTAAATATTATATTTTATGATATTAACATATTGTAGACATGAAAATAAAAGCTGATTTCATGATAAAATATAAACACACAATCGTCAACCCATGCTATGTTTTTTTAATTTATTACCAATATCTTATTTTATGATCGTCGAATCCTGGTGTTTGCTGTCAAGTCATAAATACAACATGGCAATGGCAAATAATAATAATGCAGCAATGCTAATAGGACGATTTATTCTATGATTTTGAAATTGAAAATCTCCTTATAACAATAAATATTACCACAATCCCGTTGGTCTAAAAAAAATGTAAAACTAGTTTCATTTCATTCAGCTCTAGTTACAAATAAAAAAAAATAATATTAAAAATTATTTGCCGCCCCTGAGAAATTGCCGTCCTGAGCACTAGCTTATAGTGTTTACTGAGAAATACGGCACTGTGACAGCACAATAAATACGTACAAAGTGACAAATTAAAAATAACTTTTGAGTGGAAGCAAATTAAAAAAATATATTTTTTATGTATGCACTTCAATATTGCAACTAATGCGATGCTTAAAAGATTTAAATATTATCAGCAGATACAAAATTAGAAGGAACATTTTAATTTCTTTATTCTCTTTTCTTTTTTGTTATTATAGATCAATCCCATAAAGACTAATATTATACTTTGTGTTTTACGACATTAGCAACGATTACAAACGATGCATATCGTTAAGAAGGACGCGATGGACTTGTGTAAATATAATAAAATTGCTGTACCCAAAAACCGCACATTTTATAATGATGTATAAATTATTATTTATTATTTATATATTTATTCAAAAAAAATATTTAAGGTACAATTTAAGTATTGAAACATTTTAAATATAAAATTTAAAAAAATGATCAAAATTGTATTGGCTACTAAAAATAAACCCAATTTAATTAAAAATGATGTATTAAAACTATTAATATGTGCCTATTAACTAACTTGTTTTTATTTTTCAATTGGACAGACAATATTTTTAATTCCCTTATAGTACTGGTTCATACGTGTTAATGTACCGATATGAATATTTCGTAAGACATAAATAACCATAAATACAGATCGATTCGGAGTGCAAAATTCAGAGTAAAATCTTTCAGCTCCATTTGTAGTCCTTGTAGTTATAATAATTAACTGGATGTACCCAATTTCCGCCGAATGTACAACTAATAAGTAACAAATTATTTTAAAATTATAAATATAACGTAAACGTGCGGTTTTTACCCAATAATAGGTGTGCGGTATTTGGCTTTATAATGTTGCGACTTTTTTGGGGTTGAAATCATATGTGTGTAGCTTTTGGCTGCAACAAAATACAAAATACATTATTATTACCTAAGCTTAGTAAAAAAAGAAAAACAATTATACTGAAACCTGAGTGCATTTACATAAAATAAATGACTACACAATTTGCAACACGGTGTACTTTTAAATTGATTTATTTAATTGGTCAAGGTATCATGTTTACTCGGATCAAACCATAATTTTGTTTGGCTATAAGTTGTCGTTTCTTCGCTCTTGATGACGAATTCAGTTTTTTACAGACATTAGGAACACGCAATCATTCGTTACTGTTGGCATTTGGAACACTGTACTACTGAATAACGCCTCCATAATTATGCATATAAGTCCTAATTTGTACCTATTCAACTCGAGCACAGTTAACAAGTATATTAATAACGCAACTGACAGCAGTATCGTTCCGACATGTAGTTAAAATCTAAGTATAGATAGTTTTTGATATTGATTTACCAGCTATTGTTTTTCTTGTTGCAGTAAAAGCCTAGTGACAAACGTGTACTTTGTACTTTTGCATTTGGAACACTTTCCACGAAATCTGGGTTTTCTGTTCCCAGTCATTAGCAAAGTCATCGTATACCAAAAAATACTTACACTTATATTAGTATGTGTTGTCTTCACAGACGGTGTTTTGGTAATAATTACCTTAGTACGCGAAATTGATTTTACAATAATTGAACTACAATTATTATACTATTATTGTAAAATTACTTCAACCAAACTCGTATATTTTATATTTTACATTTTCCCCCTTGAATCATGAATATAATATATTTTGGTACACCAAAATGCGTCGTCAAAATAATATTAAAATACACAATTTGAATTTTATAAAAAAAAAGTTACAGTCCACTTAAAGCCTAACGGCCAAAGTTATTAAACATGGAACATGCTTTAGCCTGCTGGCTCCTGAATAGTGATAATTTCTGATCTTTAATCTCCTTGCAATTTATAACGATAGAATAATCTTAATTATATTATGTTCTGGCCAAAACATTTGCATAACGACGACGACGATTCGTTATTATTTCGAAGGCATCTTAAACGTTATGACGATATTTTGATGTTAGATGCGTAATGACTAATGATTTCCTAGATTCGTTCAGTATATTTATGTTTGATAAAAATTGTTTTTAAGATTATAATTTTGTATTCCATGATAATGCTAAATGTTGAATAATTAGGACAGTCCACTAATTTTGTGATCAACAAGTTTGAAATGTTATAAATCATTTTTTTTCTTTGGTTATTGTATTTTCGATTTAATAAATATAACATAATAATAGGCAATAATAAAATGTATTACCATTTGATACCAAATCAATAATTTATTGAAAAAATTAATTGTATTGTTTAATGCTTTATCACGATAATAACAGCATTCAGAGCATTCTGGTTGAACATAATTCCTATTCTAAAAAAGCTATTTTACAAGTTATGGAGCTTATGCAGATGAGAAAAAAAATGGAATAAACAAACTTCACGAACACCAGATGAATTATTTAACCGTAACTTACATGCCTAATTTACTGTAACTTACTCAAACTAATACATAATTATAATTAGGCTTTAATTTATAATATAATTTTTGAATTTAACAATGAAAAAAAATCATTACCAAAGAAATTGAAGATTTTTAAAAAAAAAAGATATATTTGTAAGAAATGAGTACGTTTTGTATACAGATTACAGTATGGCAAATTTAAACCTGTGCTCCTGCATGGATTGCAATTTGCGTTTTTTTTTATTTAGGACAATGTTAGTTTTTCCGTTTGCCTTAAAAAGGTGCATGCAAAGAGGTATAGTATAGTCAATTAGCAACTCTAATTACAATACATACTAGTCAATGCATCAATACAGTACAAATTCATTTCAATTTCCAGTCAAAACTTAAAAAGACCTGTATTTAAGTTATAAAATGTATTTGTAGCTTTCCGGCCATAATAATAACTATTTTATTAATTTTTATTAATAGTAATAAATTATAAAACATATAATGAAATATCAAATCAGCATATAAGGACATCACTACAATTAAAAAAATTACAAAAGTAAAACGAATGCCTTCTCAGATCGGCATCGAAGTTAAAATATGTTCTTTAATTTCCATATTTAAGTACGTACCTACCAGGAACATGATAGTTTCAATTCATATTTGCTGCATATTCATTGGCTGCTAATACTAATCATGGTTAATACAAACGTATAAAACAATTTTCATTTGTATGCAAAATATTTTTTTAAACATAACAACAATTATTGCATCAATATAAATTAAATAATAAATATCTTTGAAAAAAAAACTTGCAAACTTGCAACACTTATGTATTATAAAATAATTAAATATTTAAATAAACCTTTAACCACAAAAATAATACTAGCTCAGTCTATTCCGTGCTGATGATTGTAACATTGCTGCCGAAATACGTATACACTATAGAGTACTATTTTTGTGGTTAAGAGTTTATATAAATATTCAATTATTTTATAATAAACAACCTTAATTACTTAAGTGTAAATGCTTATTTTAAAAATATTCGAATACACGCAAATAATATGTTGCATTTTAAATAGTTAATAACACTTGGCATAATATTTATACAATGAATTAATTAAAAACATTTATAGTTTTAAATGTTAGGATTTTCAAGAGCTCAAAACTGCTTAATATTAGGACTAATAATCGACCCAGTCTTTAGGTATACAGTATAATTATCAATTTACAATCATTTCTAATCTACAGAAAATTATTACAAACCAGTTATATATAGTATAATAATATTCATTTATCTAGCATTTGTTTTAATAAAAGTTGAACTTTAAATGACAATTGTTCCGCTTATGTATTCAAAATTTTGGCAATCCACCCGATATTCGATTCTCAATACCGCATTCGTTGTTACCTCTTTTTATTTTAAACATGCCTCCCATGCCCCAATAACGACCCCAAGTGTTGGCTGCTAACCAGTACAAAACTCCGTTCTCTTGGCCCCATCCTAACAGTTTAACAGCGTGTTCTCCTTTTGGTGAACCAGTCGTGTACTGATAGATTCCTAAACACAAAATTATTATTTATAAATAGTATTGTGTATTTGCATATCATCAACCAATTAAAATTCAGCGCAACACGATAAGCTTGAAGTTCTAAAACTAGTAAAATATAATTAGAGTTTAGACCAAATGTATTGTTTAGTGGCTATAAATCTATAGCTAGATACTAGCTAGCTTTATATCAACAAACGTGTCTAGAACTAAACAATACTCGGATAATGAATTATATTATTTGATAAATGTTTTGATAAATAGTAATTAATTATTTTAGGAGAAAAGAAAACAAATTAGCTGTAGCGTTAAAAAAAGTTTTAGTTTAATCGTGTTACATTCGACAAAATTACCAATTTCCATATCTTACCGCTTTTATAATGCAAGAAATCTTCGTAAGTTTTCATCGCTGCCACAACAGGACCGTTATTATAGACCTCGTGCATGATTGCTTTCATTTTAGGCTTAACAGTATATACCTTGCTAGCTGTAATAGTGACATCAATCGATTAGACAATCATATACATAGGTCACATAATATTTTACTACACATTCCTTAAAATAAAATTATAAACATTTAACTACCAAAGTATAAATCTTCTTTTAACGATGTTGTATAATTGAAATTACTACACGCCAGGTAACATTTAGGAGTGTCCGCGCTAGGCTCCGAATAACTTGAGCCGCTACACGGAGCTATACTGTAAGGTTGACAGCCCTAAAACATGATACTATTAAATAATAACTCTCATTAAATGCAGAATAGTTAAAACTTAATTTAACGCTTAAAAAAACATAGCTGGCCGAATTTTTCAATTAATTTCAATACGGATAAGTATAATTTTTTTAAATTACAATTCATGCTAATCAAATAATAATAACACTTAACATATATATGAATTACTTCGAGAGTCCCGACAAGACAAGATCTTGATGAGGCACACACACACTGTAATAAACGTACACGTAAACATATTTTTCTATGGTCCAAACTGTGACTCATAAAAACCCGTGATATTTACCTATTTTTTTCAGGCCTGATTTTTTGGCTGGGTGATCAAATAAAAGGTGAAATTTGGTCGTATAATGGAATTATTTGAGTGTAAACTAAGTATATCTATATGATTGTATTCAAATACAGTAGAAACAATATTTGGCGTCGTCCTTTTTAAAACAAAATCCAAAATATAGGTATACATATTTAAGGGAATTTTTCAATAAATCCGAATCTACCCTCTGAATTTCTCTAGAACGTTTAGCTGTTATTCTAAATCACTCCAAAGTTGTGAGTAACTTGCAAAACAAAAATTAAAATTTTTCAATTTTCGTGTGTATACCTTAAAAAAACTACATTAATTTTGAGTTTAGTTCCGAATTCAGCAAAGATAATATAATTTAAAATACATTTTAGACAATTATTTAAACCTATAAAACAAGCTGAACATATCACTTAAGTGTGTTTCTTACAACTTTGAAGGTGATTTCAAAAATAACTAGACGTACAGAACAATGCTGAGGTCAAAATTGGATTCAGCAAAAGACATATATTATGCAATTTTATCTTGTCTAGTTTTTTAATCTTGTTTCAAATGCGTGTTGTAAAGTGTAATTTTTAGAGGAAATTGGTTATGAGTTATGATCGTTTATCGAAGAATTATTTTTATTTATTTTAAAAAAAAACCAGAATAATTACTATTACAATATAATTAACTATTTTGACTGTATGTTTTTCTATGAATTTAAACACTTAAAGTTAAAATCGAATTAAATAATTATGTACATTGCAATCTATTGACTGACCTCGCCGGAACCAAAGTCGCCTCCTGTGCATATTCCGTTGTTCTTAATAAACTTCCATGCTTTTTCCGGATGTCCGCCGTCACATCCTCTACCGCACTTGCCATTACAACAATCCATTAAGAACTCACCGGACAGGTTTAAATCGACAGAGCCGTTCGTTCCTATACAAACGCGATCACTAAACACTGAAGCCGTTGACAGTGCCTAAACATATTTAGTAATAAACCATATATTATATGAATATATTGTTACTTAAAATAATTGTGTAAGCACAGCCGATAGGTAATCAAATTAAATCACTAACCCAGCACGATCCGCAATTCGATTGGTCTTTAATTGATGTGATGGATTTACACAAAGGCCATTGTTTCGAGGCGTCGTAACTTTCCGGGAGGATTTCGGCTTTGTCTAGTTCTTTATCCATTATATTATGATAAAGCGAACTACCCAACTCCTCTATTGGAAGCACCCCCATTAAGTCTTCGACGTCCCTCATGTAATTTAAACTCGTGCTCAATCCTGCCTAGTTAAAACAATAATTACATTTGTCGACCGTTAAACAAACGTACCTGACACCTACTAACGAATCCGTTCAGTATTTTTAACAAATAAAATATTAAATGATTACTTACCTTCCACGTAGTCTTAGAAATGTTATTCACATGATCGATGATGTCGCCGACATTATTTTTTACTCTCACTACAGACCTAGTCAAGACTTCATGGTTAAATAATAACAAAAACAAAATAATTACACAGGAATTGCACATTGTTCTAATAAACATTATTACCACTACACGGTGTGTAAATAATTAAAAAAACTGTCAAGACCGATCGGTCTTTATGTAAAATAGTAAGTGATCCTCATTCCTCGATCAAGTGCAAATGAGTTATTTATTGCAACTAGATAAGACAGCTGATACTATAATACTTGTAATTCCGAAAAAAATATTGTTCCGTGCAAATAGGTACTACTAATAGACAATTGAAAATTATGTATACTAGTTTATCTTATCTATTAACATATTATTACTAAAATAATTTCCATGTAATCACTTTACATTAAGCATTAGTCATTGAATCTTGTATAAATTCCAAGTAAGTCTGTATAAGTAATAGTAATAGTACCTATGTATTTGTGGAAAAAGCCAACCAATATTTTATAAATTAAGAGCCTAATAGAAATTAATTCACATTTTATTGTACCTATCCTCAAAGTAGTAATTAGTATTTGGAGTTTTCTAGTGAATTTCATAACTTGTCAATACCGCTTGTAATTTATAACAATGATCTAATTCGCTTTTTTGGGTTATACCTATATTTTATTAATTTTTAGTTTAAATTGTACTAAATTTTACAATAAGTAGACCGGATATGTATCTCCCATACACATTTCGTACAACAGGTCTTGAATTCAAATATTTTAATCATTACCAACTGCTTTGATGCGAATTTGTAAAGAATCTGTAAAAAAGGCCAAGTTCCAGACCCCCCTCCCAAAAATGTCATCCTATCAAAGTAGTCTCTACATATATAAACATTGTGGTCAAGTCTGCTATTTCTTTAGTTCATAACCACACTTCACTCCTACTTTCATGAGCAACACTGCTCTTTTATTTGTATTGCTTAACACTTGCCCAGTTTGTGAATGAAACATGACCTTTCTGAATGAGGCATAAAACAGACTTTTTCGCAATGTTGATACCACTACTTTGATTGGTTGACTTTTTCCAGAGGGGATCTGAACCTTTTTCTTTTTTTCTGAGTTCTCTTCTTCTCATCACACACATAACTCCTAAGTGAGTACATTTGATATGATGTTTCATGCTTAATTCAGAAACTGGCCAAGTGTTAAGCAATACAAATAAAAGAGCAGTGTTGCTCATGAAAGTAGGAGTGAAGTGTGGTTATGAACTAAAGAAATAGCAGACTTGCCACAATGTAGATACTTGTAGAGACACAGTGTAGAGACTACTTTGATAGGCTGACATTTTTGGGAGGGGGGTCTGGAACTTGGCCTTTTTCACTGTTAGGTTTTTGACGGGGATACTTTATACTGTTAAAAAGAAAAGAACATTAACTCGGTTTTCTCACCGTTTAAAATTTACCTTAAATATAGCACTTTAAAAAAGTAAAAAAAGGTCGGAATAAAAATATAAACTGTTAATGTTGGGTTACAAAATATTTTAAAAAAACCGATGAAAGAACCTAAATAAAGTTCTCATTATTTTAAATATGTAAAAAAAATGTCTACGATTATTTTTTAGTCAATAATAGACAATATGCGTAGCTCTATTTAGATGACATTTTGTTTTAATCGCTGTCAAAGATTCTGTGATAGAAATATAAGTTTTTGTACGAAAATAGATCCTACATGCGTTATAAAAATTGAAGAAAAAAAATTTTAATATCAAAATAAATACTTCTTTCCTATGGAAATATGTTTATAAATTTTAGCTCAATGTTAAGTTTTAGTGAAAAATTGCATATACAATGCGCTTTAATAAGTTCTAGGGTAGAGGCCCCTTAAGTATAGATATCAAAAAAAAATCCTCACCTGTTGATAAAGTTATTCTCTATACATAGTGAAAATTTGGTAAAGTAAATCTTCAGTTAATACTGGCCTCACATACTTGTTCCTCGTAAATCAGTTTTGATGAGAAAAAAATTGTAATTTATCCTGTAGAAATGACTGTGATAGTCTGACAAAAAAACGACAATCAATAAAGTATCATCATTACTGTATTAATAAATATACATTACAGTTCAATCTCTAAATTAAGATTTTTCGAAAATTGCTAATACTTTATTCTTTATAAATGGCCTAGGTTTTTTTAAACATTTTTTTTTAAAAATGTCTACACCCTGGAATCACTTAATTACAAAATAATATTACACAAAACATATAAGTAGGTATTTTAATACATTTGAATTAATTAAAATGATATTCAAACGTACCCCTACTTCTTTTTTAAAGGGGGACGCATGGGACGGGTTGTTATTTAGTCTTGCCTATATTTACAAAGTTGCTCAATTTAAATTTTTGTGTTAAATATATAAATCTTACAAAATATTCTAATATTTACAAAATGTATTGATATCTCATATCTGATATGTATATTTTATTTTACTATCAATATTCATCCATACACTTTCTCATGAGACATCACGCAAAACACGTTAACTTTTGGCGAGTCTCTTAAGTGTTCCAGGGTTGTGTGTCGATTTTGTTCACCCCAAATTATCCTAGCGGTAACCTAACCCAACTTGAGGTTATAGCGGTCATTTTAAGAGGTCGTGCAGCTTGACCGTTTAGAAAATACAGATTTTTGAAACCTACTTATTCTTTTGTTACCACCCTGTACAATTGTATTTATATTTACATTTAATCAATGGTACCGTGGAATCTTTTAAATGAAGATTGAAGATTTTTAAAAATGAAAAATGATTAAATTATATAAAAAAAAAATTGTAACTGTTAAGACAAGTTATACCTAGATAATTATTATATTATTCGGTTTTGTTACGTTTTGTTTAATTGTTTTTTATTAATGCTTCTTAGGGCACCGTTAAAGGGGTTGTGGGGGCGAAGCCCCCCGCTGTAACGAGAGGGATATTAAAATGTTATGGACGATACTTTTTTTAAAGTATCTAGAGTATCTCTACTACTTTTTTCTCAAGTCAAGCACTGATTATATATTATAATATTTAATACAAATTTTATTTTAATTTATATAAAATAATGTTTTACGATAACAAAAACGCCGATGCGGCGGCAACGGCTGCCCCCCCTCCTCTTCCCACCAATTGGATTCACCTATTTTATTAAAAAAAATTAATAAAATTTCGAATGAAAAAAAGAACGGAGCGTTTAAAAATTTAAAAAAAAAGCGGTGATTTAACGAACGTCGTACTCTTTTATCTATTTTGTGCTCTTCCATGACGTATACAACGCACTCGGTACCATTAATTTTAGAAATCGATGTATATTCTAAAATCAATGTCGGTACTAAACACTAACATAGATTAATCTATGACACTGTAGCGAATGCAGGCAAAAGGCTGCCCGGCCGGTGTCCGAAGACATTGGACGGGAAGTTGTCGTGTGCGCATTTATATGTGCGCTTTGGGTGACTTTGATCACATGCGAGAAGTTCGCCACAATTCGTCACAACTACCGAGATCTAGGCGATCTGACCACGTGTTGAGGCGGTATCAATGCCGACAGCTAGATTGCGCTAGCTGTGGCGCCTCGTAGCCATGCATCCGCCACAGTGCTGTATGTGAGGCCGGTGGCCCGCCACAACACTATTTACCACTATAACTCCTGGAAGACTGTTTTGTTTTTTATTATCTGACATTTGTTATCATTTTTTATCAATAATTATTAAATTAAATGTTTGGATTTAAATACTTCTCGGATCATATTATTATTCTAGTTTGACATTACGAAACACTTGTTGTCCGTTCATTTGCCCTCTAGGTAAACTGAATGACCATTAAGCATTAACCTTGATTTAAGTCTTATCTAGTTATTTCAAATAAAAGAAGTCTTCAATTATTTTTTCGTACTTTTCTACATTGTCGTCAAAATATTCAAACTCCACTAGAAATATGTCTGTTGTTTATAAAGCTTTAATCTCAACTGCCGACAAAGTGGTACCGAAGGGTTTGAGGCCACTCTGGGAACATCCTGCTGGTGATAAATATTCTTTTCTACTTTTCTTAATTCAATTAAATAAATATTTGATTGACAATACAATATACTAATACTAATTTTTATGTTGTAGGTCCTAAAACTGTGTTCTTTTGGGCACCCGCATTCAAATGGGTAAATAATGAAATAGATAGGCAAACTCCTGTGTTTTTAATGCATCGTCTTTGTTAAATTTTAAGGGTTTGGTAATAGCTGGCATAGGCGATATATCACGACCAGCAGATAAGATAAGTACATCACAATGTACTGCATTAGCTGCCACGGGAGTAATTTGGTCTCGATATTCTTTAGTCATTATTCCCAAAAACTGGAGTTTGTTCAGTGTTAATGTTTTTGTGGGCGCCACTAATATTTACCAACTGGTCAGAGCATTTATGTAAGTATTAATTATTTATATATCATTCTAAAATGTCTATACACTACTAAATTAATAGCTTAAATTTAGTCTTTATTTAATATTCTAAACTATAAGGTTGTTAACCGTTATTTTTTAAATGCTAACAGACAATAGTATAATGTATTTAAATGATGAGAAAGTTTAAGCTTTATTATGAAACTTTGATACATAAAACCTTTATCTATTACAAAATTATATACTTTTAAAATATAGTCATAAGACATACTAGTCTTATAAAATTATAAACTTGCAAAATACTATTAGTGAAAAAACAAAATCTATTAGCAACAAAATGTTCATTAATTTAAAAACTACACCTATGTTACCTTTAAGTTGTAATTTAGTGTGTTAATTTATTGGCAGGTCAGTAGATGTAATTTTAGGTACATTGGAAATATTTTGTTGCCTTTTATTTTTAAATAACATCTACAACCAATTCTTTGCTTTCTACTATGATTTTTTACAAAAAATGTCAAGAACCCTTTTTTTTACATTATGCATTTTTGAAATGAAATTTATTTTTAAATCAGTATTAAACCCAAGTTGGAGCAGTTATATATTTTTTTTTTTCAATAAAGTTTGAAATCCATTTTTTAATATTTGTAATGTAATTAACTGGCCGTTTCTTTAGCTAGACGGGCAACCGAGAGAGAAATGGCCACTCGACTGTTGTGGAAAGCAATGGGAAACCACAACAACCTAACCCACTTCCCCAAGATGGCAACTCTTGTCTATTACTCTTATAGAGCAAGAGTTGTCTGACCTACCTAAAAAGGTCGTAGACTAAAAAAAAGTATATAAATGTGTGTAAAAGTATCATTAGTGTAGTTAGTCCATTTTCCATTACTTTCTAATTTTTAAGATACATAAACACACCAAATGATAATAATACTATTAATTTATGTTTTAGGTTTCAACAACAACAAAAAGCAATAACAAATGGAACTAAATAATTTCATTTTTTGTGAAATAAACAATTATTATGATTGTGAACTATCAAATTATATATTATATTGTAAAGATGTGTATGTTGAATGTTTTTTTTTTTTTTTTTACAAGAAAGCAATATTTGTTTTTTAAATAATCTCTACAGCTTATACAGAATTTTGAATGATAAATTTAGGTGAAGTTTATAATACACAGTAAATTGTAATTTATTATGATACATACAATAAATTGTTGTTACAAAAAACGAACTAATCAAAATGTTATTTGTAGTATTAAAAAAATGTGACAATTTATGTCTTCAAGTCTTAGATGTACAAAAAATATTGAAAAATTAGTAAGGTCCTCTACTTCTGTATCCGCCACCAAATCCTCGGTTGTTACCAAATCCTCTATTGAAACCTTGTATTTAATTATAAAAACATGTTAAAACAACATTATTCACCTTGTAAAATTTCAGTTTTCATCTTAAAATATTGAATACACTATCTGGCTACTAACTAAGTGAAATAGGTAAACTTTTACAAGTTCACATAAATACATTTATGAATAAAAAATTTTCTCTTTTAATTACCTCTTCCAAAGTTTCCACGTCTCGGACTAAAATTTCCCCTGTTATTATAACGCTGATTATGAAAAGTACCTCTGCCATAAGCATTGTTACTTTGATCAAACTTTAGGTTGTTGGAAAACATTATTTTGGAATCCGGTGCACCCAAGTTAAAGTCATCACTCATTGGTCTTTTACGGAATGAACTACCACTAATAGTATAAAAAAAAAATGTTTTAAAAATTAAACGTTTTAACTATTTTAAAACATGTATTATTATCCTTTACCTGTTATTAGCAAATGATATAGGTGAAAGGTTATATCTTCCTGTATTAAAATTACACAATTCTTTCAGAGTATTTAAAAGTTTTACATTAGTCTCATCCATAGTCAATATAAATTCTGGGTTTTCAGAAATGTTAATAATTAGTCCTTCGATGGCTGGACGTAAAGCTACAATAGCAGCAGCAGAGTTGACATCCATTTTTAAATTTATCCTACAAACCAAACCTTTTTAATATAATTTTGTTTATAATGTAATAATTATGATCAATACAAGTTTACAACAAACCAATTATCAAGACAAATATAATTGTTGGTGTACTCAATTTTTCTGGCTCCAAATAACAAGAGGTGAATAGGTGTGACCATAGTCATTTGTTTGCATGACACCGCTCTAGTTCGTACCTAAAAGCATAGAAAACTATTTTTATAAATACACAAATATTAAACCTAGAACATTTAAAAAATTACATTGTTATTGTAAATACAAAAAAACCAGTACAGTGGGGACGGTGAGGTCAAAGGTTTACATTAATTTTTCAATCTAAAAGTGATAAAATCACTTTCGAATAAACGCTTTGATGCAAATCAGTAGTAAGTATTTTCAAGCTAGTACAGTCCAAACCACGCACAGTGTAAGCCAGCAAAGTTAGAAAGTATTAAATTGAAGCAGTCATTTCAAAAACGACTTAAGTCACCAATTTTTGAAATAAGACTTTTTATAAAATTTGATAATTATATACTTAGTTACGTATTCAGTGTGAAAATTAAATTTGTCAGACTCGTATGTAATAAAATGTTGAATACAAGAAATTAGAACCACTGCAAAAACTATTTATGAAGTTATGAAGTTTTTTGTGGCTAGTGTACAATTTCAAATGACCGATAAAATTACAAAATAGAAGCATCAAAGCGTAATTTGAAAGTGATTTTATCCGAGAAGCCTAGTACAGCAGAATATAGGCATAATGGAATCAAAGCAACGAGACGACATAGAGGTCACAGGTCTACAGGAATTATTATAAATAAAAGTGATAAAGTTGAATAAAATCACTTTCAAATAAACGCTTTGATGCTTCTATTTTATATATTTATCGGTCATTTCAAAAACGACACAAGTCACAAATTTGAAATTTTACAAGAGCCACAAAAAACTTCATAAACAGTTTTTTCTAGCTAACATTTTTCTGGATTTTTGTGTAAAACACTTCAAAAGTGATCAAATTATACGTTTTTGTGGTTGGTGATTACGAATTTAATATCGAAGCTAAAACTAATGAACATTACTATAATATATTATTATAATAATATTATTAAACATTTATTTATCAATTTCAGCAATTGAAAAATTAATTATTACTTTTTCAGTGAACACAAAAAATGGTGATGGAAAAGATCCAGACATGAAATTTGTGCAGTTGACAGAAGATTTATGAATAAGTGCGGGTTTTCCTTCAGTTGTATATACCTGAAAATAACAATTTAATAATTTTAGAAATTAAAAAAAATATATGTAAATATTTTTTTATTGCCTTTCGTTTTTCTTTATGATAGCAGACATTTGGATAAAACGCCATAGTTAAGATTGCAGAAATAACATCCAATAATGGCTCGTCGTATACACCAAATTTACCGAAATCAAAACGTTGTGTTTCAAAACATTCTTCAGGAAATCCAAGTTTGATAAAAAGATCTCTTAGCTGATCCTATTTAGGTATATGGAATAACAATACAGTTAGTAAGAGTGATTTGATCTATGTTTACGCTAATGAGAAATGAGAATTACTTTAACGTCTGCTGTAGTTGTCAGTGAGGGCTGAGATAACATTTTACGTGCACAATATTCAGTTGTGTCAATGTTACGTTGGTACAATGACTCCCACTGTTGAAAAGCATTCAATACGGTTAAATGATCTGAACAGCGATTTCCCGATAGTGCCCGCTGAGCTGGTGTCATTCTATGATCTAAAAAAACAAGTACAAAAATTATTACAGAACACTAAAATACCGTAAATGTGTGAATAATTAATTTTTATAACATACCAAATTCAAAAACGTCTGACATATTAGAACACACAGCGGCTATTATAGAAATGGGATTACCGAGCATTAAAGCGTTGCCTAAAATCATCATACGGCCGATTTGAGGTTCAATGGGTAATTTTGCTAGGATACAGCCAAGCGGTGTAAGTTCATCATTACTTCCCAAACATTTCATTTCTAAATATTTACACACGTATTACAAAAATGTATTTATACATTTTCAAAATTTACATTTGTAGGTTATTAATTTTTATGAACATTTTAAAATAGAATTAAAATCTTACTGAAAATTCAGTAAGATTCAGTAAAAAATTACTGAAATCTTACATAATTAAGACATTTTTTATTGAGATTTCACCATATAAGTAAAATATTACACCCATCTAGATTCTAACAACAATCTACATTAGGTACACTACAATAGTGTTTAACATAAAATTAAAATTAACATTCTGCCTATCTTTGGTGTTCAAATAAAAACAATTCATTTTTAGTTCTTTAGAACGGTTTGAGTAGCATAAACCGAACCAAAGTAGTTTATTACATGATTATATACTCTATTTAAAATAAAAGTACACCAAGCTCTCAGTAGTGAATATTTTAAGTATTTAATGCTTCTGGTCCTACATTTAATAATCACTGCCAAAAACTCAGTGTACTCTTATTCTTAATGTAGTGTAATTCTATTTGTCGTTTTCACTATTTGTAAAACACAATTAATGTCTTTTTGATATTGTAGTGTTGCTCAAAGTGTGATCATTTTGTATTTTTTTTTTTTTATTTGAACACCAAAGAGACAGCATTTTACCTTTGAGCATCACTTGAGCCTCAATAACAGCATCAATAGGAGGTGGTTCAATAGCTTTGCTAAGAAACTGTCCAATATCTCCGAGGCGTAATAATTTTATAGCTAAACCGATTTCGTGCAAAGGTGTACGAAATATTTCTGGTACTATATGGTCATCAAGTTTATCATAACGAGCCTTAAAAATGTTATGAATAAAAATCATTTTATTACAGAAAAAAAAAACTTTCCAAAATTAAATTTATGTAAAAAAGCTTAACTAACTAATTTATAAAAATAATTAAAGTTAAATCCAAGTAATTTGTAAACACAAGGGAACTATAGTCAGTGCATTTACAAATTACAAGTTAGTAAATTAAATTTAGTGTAGGTAGATACTGCGCAGGCGGGAGTAACACGTTTTAGTTTCTTCGCTGGTGTCTTTTGGAACGCAGTATATGTATATAAAAACAACTAAAAAGAAACTAATACCTTTGTAAACAAATGAAAACAGTAGCCTGGTTTTACACGGCCTGCACGACCCTTTCTCTGTTGCATATTGGTTTTAGAAGCCCATACAGTAGCATAATGGGTCATATTATTATGTGTGGTAAATAATTTTATTTTCGCTTTGCCACAGTTAACTACGAAAACTACATCATTTATAGTTATTGATGTTTCAGCTATATTTGTGGACAAAATTACCTGGCAAATATAACACCACTATTATTAGTAAACTTTTATAAGTGATTTTATAAGTGATAAACATTCAAGAGTAGGCAACTTGTAGACACATAAACTGGGTTTATTTTAAGCCACAATTGAGTGCAGCAATATTTTTTTTTGTATAGTACCGTGCAATCTTGTTTGCTAAAGATTGAAGTATGGGCTCAATTGCCATTTAACACTTAAATAATTGATTAGTGATTTTAAACAAAATAATAATGTAAGATATGATTTCATTAGAAATTAAAAAAAGGAAAAATATTTTATTTGTTATTATTGTGATTGTAATAGATAATATTAGAGTATTAAGAAATTTTGAAAACTAAAATAAATTGCCTGTGTTTATAAATAGATTTTCTAGATAATCAATTTTAACTGCCTTATTACATTAGATTAAAATTATGAAGTAAAACCTCACAGACATAAAAACTTGTAGTACATTTTGTAAAATATTATTTTCTAGGATCTTTATTATACATTATTTATCTTACCTTTCGTACACCAGGAGGAACAGGTGCAAAAACTTTCCTTTGATCAGCACAAGGAATTTGCGAATGAAGTGGTAAAATACAAAACTTTCCAGATGCTAAAATCAAAATACTGTAAATATGAATAAATATTTTTTTAAATAAAATGCATACCGTAAAAAGGTTTTTGAGACAAGTATTTGTTCAGTGCAAAAATCAAATTCCATCCTGGCAAAAATATTAAAACGGCACCTGGTACCTTCATATTATTTTCAATGTGCATTAGTAAGGCCTGTGAAATTATTAATTAATTAAATTTAATCATAAACTATCTATCAATTATTTGTTTTAACGCAGGGCAATTTTTTTTGGACTATTTTGTTGAAAACTCACTTCTACAATATCAAAATCAATGTCCTTTTCACTCATTATCGCTACATTTGCTCGTACATCAGCAGAATACTGTTCGGGCACAACCAAATTACAATTCTCTTCTTGTTCTTGTCCCGCTACAATAGTTTCTTCTTCTTTGTCTTTATTTTTATCTTTTCTATTGTACGGAACTGGCTTATAATTTAATACCTCCACAATATCTTCCAAGAAGTACTCTGTAATAAATGAACACATAAATAATGAAGTATTAGAAAATAATTTATATATATATATACAGGTACATACCCTTAACAGGAAAACAACTCCCTTCCACATCAATGACTGGACAATTATTAAAATACTTAGTAAACAAATTGGTGTTAATAGTAGCGGACATAAATATAACTCTGAGATCAGGATAATTATAAACCATATCCTTCAGCACAACCATGAGAAAATCGCTATTAACATCACGCTCGTGAATTTCGTCAACAATTATATGTGATATACCTCGCATACCAGCTTCCAGCTTACGTAACAATACACCTAAGTAATTCATTCATTTGTATTTTTAAAAAAGTGTAACATATCGTAAATACAAAAATATACCATACCGACTGTACAAAACAAAATTGCACCATATGGTCGAGGGAATACACTATCGAACCGAACACTATATCCAACACTTTGACCAATATCTTCTACTCTTTCAGAAGCCACACGGTCAGCAACAGAAATAGCTGAAATTTTCCTCGGTTGTGTGCATATAATATTACAGTCTGAACCCTGACGACTCGTAATATATTCATCAAGAATAAATTGACAAACCTTAAAAATTATAATTGCCTCTTTTACAAATAATTTAAGGTTACCAGTAATAAACCTAAGACAAAATTATTTACCTGGGTAGTTTTTCCACAACCTGTACTTCCTTGTATAATAACAATTGAATTATTTTTTATAGTGTTCAAGATTTGGTTTTTGTTAGCATACACTGGTAGCGCACTACGCTCCTCAATACTTTCTTTTAAGCCGCACAAAGAATCAAATTTTTCAAAATGATCTTTAGCCATTTCTTCACTCAGTTGTTTTAATGTGGCCTAAATAGAATTACATTGCAAAATATTAAAATAAAAAAATTCCCATTATCAAAAAGTGAAAAACCGAATTGTTACTGTTGCTAGAGGGCCTTCATCAATGTTAATCGCTAACCAAGGATTCCAGTTGGGTTGTGGCGGTGACCACGGTATAACTCCACTTGCCCTAAATGGTTTAGGTTCTTGAAAATCGAAGAGCACTTGATTGGTAATAAGTGACATAGCATCTCCAGGTTGAACATCGTTATCATTCTGGAAATATTACTTTATACTTAACTAGTTTCAAACATTAAAATTTTAAGTCATTACTTAGTTGAATACAAACTATAACAATTATAGATATTTGTTTTACTTCTAACTTTTTACCTTAATAACTGAAATGGGTTCAATTTTAAACTCCTGCAATACATCATTAACATTGTTAATTATACCTGGATCGACATTAACTTCATAGGGTTCAATTAACTGATTAACACTTTTTTTTAGTGTACCAGTAAACGCTTCAATCACTCCCAAATGATATAACTGTCGAACCAAAGATAGAGCGCAACTCTTAGATGCCGATTGTTTATTTGAACCACTCTCGCGAGCAGTTACATCTAGCAAAATGAATACATTAAACAAAATTATAAATATTACGACTCTTAAAATACCATACTTCTTCTAAGTTTGGCCACAAATATTGACATTTCAGCAACAAAACTTCTACAAAAATATTAAAAACAAAAATTATATTAGTTTTTTATTATATCATAAGTAAAACAATGATTTTACGTACTTTCCCATAAAACTGTACTTGTAATCTAGTTCTTTTAACTTGTTTGTTTGTATATACTGATTTAAGCGTGATTTAGCATTATCGATAGTCCAATTTCCATGTACAGCAGCATTTACGTCTAAACTCTCTGCCTATAAAACATACAAAAGTTATTTAATAAAAATATTGCATTTTGTTAAATTTAAATACATAATCTTATTAGTTGTCCATGACACCTTGATGTGGTCATTAAAGGAAAATACAATATTAATAAACCATGGTTAGTACCTCTTCAACTTTTTGGCCTTGGTTAAGTAAGAAGTCTTTAAACTGAAAATCTTCTCTTCCAATAGGTCTATACGCTTCACCTAACATATTAGGAGTCTGCCCTTGTTGATACACTGATCTTTCTGGTATATTACTCATTAGCCGTGAAGTAAAAGTAGCTGACGTATTACCCATAGGAGCACTATTTATAATGTTCTAATAATTTAAAAAAATATACATATTATAAGTTTTGTAAATAAGGAATCTACAAAAACATAAAAAAAAACAAAAGTTACTAACACCTGGAAGTGAATCAGCACTGATGGCTCCTTGACGAATCAAAAATTGAAGAAAATCTTTTGATGCATTTGCTTGAGCATCTTTTTTATTGGTAGAATTTCCGGCTCCAACATAATTATAGCCCGGTACCGAAAGTTCACAAATAAAACGCTGACCAAATTTATTGCCTAAAGATGAAATTTAATTTAACATACTAATATCATATAAATTATAGGGTCGTCCTTATTAGACTTGGGTTTAGTAGAATGTAAATAGACGCTCTAAATATATGATATATATTTATATATGAATAGTAAATAATTGAAAAAATTATTAAAACAATATCAAAATCTCTACATAGGTTAATTAAAAAATAATAGCTATGCCCAAGAGAGCTATGGCTATAGGATAGTAAAGAAAGAAATGTTTCAATGTTTAACTAATTATCTTTTGGCTCACCAGATTGTTTGACTTCAAATTGTGGTTCCAACGATTTTTTTGAACACCATTCATGTAAATATGCTTTTGGGTTAGCCATAGTACTTTTTTATTCTTTAAATATTCTGTTAATACAGTTGATTTTTCAAAATATACTTCAATCAATTACTTAGTAGTTATTCAGTATTATCACTTTTACTTATTATTAAACAGTAAGTTTGAAAGACTAAAGAGGAACTGTTATGCTAGACAAAACCAAAAAATTTTTAAATGTTAAATGTGATGTTTTAAAAAGAAAAATGAACCAACATGTCAACAATTGTCTTATCAGTTGATTAAAATACATACACCAGTTAAAAACACCACCAGAGGCGCTGTCTACCCGATGAGGGCTCAAAACTGTAGTATGTACACGCGCCGCATAGTTGAAATAACTAAATAATTGAATGAAAATGTTTGAACAGTAAATGGACAACTAGACCCTTGCATTGACAATATATTAAGATGTAAAAAAATTATAAATTATTACATAAATTTAGTGAAACGGAAAGAACTATTTATTAAGGGGTCAATGAAAGACAATATTTGACAAAAATTAATCTATATGCTATTTTAAGTATGCCAACTAATTTGAGTCAAATAAAAATTAGAATTGATAAAATCGTCTAACCGTGTTATAATGAGAATACTTCATACAGGCAATTTAATGTATAGGTTGGCGACATAGCCCAAAAATTCATAGATAATGCCCCTTATTTTTTAAACAAACGCAAAGTACATTTCATATATAGTTTTTAAGGAATTTTAAGTAGGCAAAATCTCAAACTTTTCCGAGAAATTTTACAAATTTAAAATATTTGCTACCATAATTTTTCAACTGTGTAAGATAATTCATAATTATTCATTATTATTTAAAAAATTGTTATGCAACATGACAACATTAAATTTGATTTTTTTAAATTTAATCATTAAATTCATTTATAGCTTTAAGAGTTAACTTTAGGTTAATGCCAAGCTGACTCACAATCAAACATATATGAGGGTATACACTATACAGTAATCGAAAAGATACCAAAAGCATGATTATACTTGCATTCTTTATATTATATAATATAAAACACCATTATCTGGGCGAAAAATAGTCTGGTAAACCGGATCCGACATTTCCCTTTCCAGGAAAAGACTGACGACCCGTTTTATAGATAGCAAATCCGTCAAGAATCCTCTTACCCAGGTAAGGCTAGTAATAGCCCTAAATGGGCTGCTTAAACTGTTCTGTTATTATTGTTATTATTTGATAACGAAATATAGAAATATAAATTGTACTGCAATTCGATCGTGAGGAATATTGTTTAACCCAAATATATATAGTTTTTTTATTTTATTTAAAAGTGTCTAATGACTATAGTACATCGATGATTCTGGAGTGATCACCGTCAACAGTCAAATTTCAGCACAAAATACGAGATTATTATCAATTGGTGAGCACGCAAAAATGTGTAATGAGTTTTAAGTTGCCAATTAGTTCAAAATTCATTGAAATTCTACGAGTTTGCTGTATTAGTAGGAAAAAATAACTATTATTTAAATATAATATAAGTTCATTTATAATGATATTATATGAACTGTCAAAAGCACAAATCAAAGCTAAAATAATAAATAACGTGTTTTCGCGTAAATTATAAATAATATAATGTTGATTTGGTTACCTATTACTCTGCCCCTTAATAATTAAATTAAAAATTAAAAAACCTATTAGTATTATTTAACAATGTTATGTATAGATATGTTATTTTTTTAATTGAAATTGTTAGTAAACAAAGATATTTAACTTTTAATATAAAGGTATACATTATTTTTTGCTTCGTGACGTGTGTGACAAGTATATACTATGTGAAATAAATAAAAAAAGCCAGCACATTGAGTTCGGTGCAAAGACTGACCAGGATTGGTCTTTTATGAATAATTATAACTGAAAGTAATAAAAATCTACATATTCTCGAATCTCGAGAACGTATAAATTCACACTAGGTCTACCTTCTGTATTATATGTATGCAGTTCATAAGTCGCAACACTACACCCCAAAAAATTGCATAAAGAAAAATATTCTACCTCATCTAGAGAAAAAGGTTTATGTGTTTTTTTTATTTGGGGGGGGGGGGGATTTACTGTAAATTGCTGGTACTCTATCTAAATAATATTCTACGCAAATTTGAAAATTATTCGTCTATTTTTTCAAAAAGTTATAACGTGTCTTAATTTTAAGTTGAAAAATGTCTACATTTTTGCTGTGTTTTTCTTGATTTTGAAGGGGGAGGGGTACAATTTTTTCATTTATAACCTAAGAGTCCAACTGCCAGCGGTTTTAGAGATATGGTGGGTGGGTCATAACACAAAAATAAAAGCAAATATATAAAAACGTGTAATTGTAAGACTAAAACCAATTTCTTCTTGTTCCGCATCAAAGCTAAAAAACAAATATAAAGACTTAAGTAAGTAATAACAAAATATATGTATCCATCATCCATGTCTTCAGTTACCGATAAGTGATAACCGATAAGAAGGTTTGTAAATTTATTTATAGTTTAATGTTAAATTTAAATTTAGGAAACACTATTTAGTACCATTATACCATACCATTTATTGTTTATTCTCTCTTGAAATCTGGTGAAAAACATATTTAATTTAGAAAAAAAATTGTAGTTTTGAAATAGATTAAAATTTAAAATGTTGTTTTTCCAAGAATTTTATCCGGACCCTTGTCGCCAACCATAAATCACAACATTAATGTAATAAATAAATTATATATTATGTTAGTTACGGTCATTGGCCTATGTAATAAAATATATAATACAGTGGGCACAGATAATTTTAAAAAATGATAACGCCTGAGTATAAAAATTATAAAACAATTTGTTTTCATACGGTTGAATTATTTTAATATAGGACCTACGTTAAGGTATATCCAATGATCGATTCACAAATGATATTCTTCCGGTTGTAGCATAACTAAAAGTGTCTGTAAACACACATCCTTATTATACCGGTTGTCGATTCGAAAGACTTGACCGGATCCGCCTTCCATTACAAATAAAACTGACAGCGGAAAATAATAAATATTACAGAGAATAATATAATGTGTATAAGAGCATCGAAGAAGATCCAATGTAATTTATATGCCAATGGGCGTAGTGATTCAAAACCGACTTACACTTTTGGGGTCTACGCTTTAGTAAATATACTCATTGTACAAAATATATTATAATTTATATGTTTATATGTATGCATACATACCTACACACACACACACACACATATATATATATATGTGTGTGTGTGTGTATGTATGTAGTCTCGCCTGGGACTTTCTATAACGATCTATTACTCTTGTTATAATCTCGTTTTTATAAAATGTAAGTTTGACAAAATCTACTAGACAATTATCAGCTCAACCACTCAAAGTGAAATATTATTACTTGTTAATTACTCCATTACACTAATTAAACACGTTTATTTTATTTTATTGCAATTTATAATTAACTCTTTACCGTTCAATTTGCACCTCAAACTGTTACGCCAAAAATGAATGTCCATTAATAAACTATGTGGTTTGTTCTAAACTTCTAAGTGGTTTATGATCCGCCAATCCTGTAACGATATTTTTTATTTATAATAGTAAATGACATGAGATGGTTATTTAAGTTGAATCAGCGCCAATGCATTTTTTTACTTATATTATACCTACATACAAATAGAAAATCCATAAAAAATAAAGCTTAATTCGACATATCATATTATTTTAATAATCTAAACATGTAATGTGTATACAGTAAGAATTAAGGAAGACCCGTCCAAGATGAATTGATAAAAGTATTTGTTCTACAGAATAAACAATAAAGAGCCTCTAATTAAAATCGATTTATGTATTATTACTTATAACATCTGTTTTACATCTTACACACAAAAAGTAAGTTTTTATTATTTAATTACTGTCACAACCGACAAGTTTTGTTATAATTTCCATTGCTTAGATATTATTTATTACTTGTACGATTACATGTATCAACAATATAGGTTTTAGTTTTGGTTTAAAATGTTGAAACACTTTTGTAGTGTTTATACTAGATACTTCAAGCATTTTTGAAAGCTCAATATTCATTTAAAGTCAATTTTATAAAATACGAATAGGTGTTTCCTGGGAAAATCGTGTACAAGCACACATAAACGGGTTATTATTTAAATTCGAATCTTTTAATAATTATTACATATTCCGTCAAACATAGTTCATAGTTTTTCGAATAAATGCAAATTTTGGACATCTTTTGATCAGCCACTGAGTTATAAATGGATTAGTAATTTTGTTTTATACCTATGCTTATGATAAGAATATAATATATTAACACCGGTTCTTGTTCATACTTGTTTTCTAGTAGGTGTTTATGTCTGGTAACAACTACTACAACTGGTTAATTGAGTATTTGTGTACCTATCAATTTATACATTTCAAAATTTAAACTGTTTTTAAGTAAAGAGAATTTTGTATCGTAAATATAAATTTAGATTATTATTACAACAGTTCTAAGTTCCTATTAATGTTAATTTATTAGGATATATTATCGTTAGAGTCTGACTACTGAATACTTTTATTATGATAATTTAATGTTTTTATTTGTCAAAATGAATTAAAAGAGAAGTGAAAGCATGTCGACAGGTGTATTGTAAAATATGTTTAATATACGGTTTAACGTGTTTTATTTATTATCTTATTAATAAACTATTTACTTACAAAAATGTATGCAAAAAAATAAACACCAAATCTTAACTAATTTTTTTTTTTTAAGAATTACTTAATTCAATTTTTATATTAATTTACATCCTTATTATTATTTTAACATCGACATTAATTTTTAATTTGCATATATTTATGTTATAAAAAATAAAACCGGAATTTTAGAGTCACATATATATTATATATATTAACTCATAAATATATATATATATTGTTTTAAGAAAACACTCATTTGCATTGAAGTATCGCTTAAATTGATTAGTAATTAAAAAATATAATTAATCAAATTTCTACTTTATTTGGTTTGAAATGGTTACCTAAAAAAAAACCAGTACATTGGGGTTGTGCCGTTGTGGTATAGTGGGGATGGAGCATATCGGTGTGGGGGAGGTCACAGATTTACATGAATTATTATAACTAAAATTGATAAAATCACTCGCAAATATACGCTTCGTTGCGAATGTGTAGCTGGTAAAAATACAAATCTTCAGCGTATTCAACACACTTTTGTATTATTTGTAGTATTATTTTTGTGGTTAAGGTTTTTTTTAAATATTTTAATATATAACCACAAGCGTTGCTTAAGTTTTTTCTAGATTCATATTAAGTATGCCTTTTTATATGGTATTATACTTTATAGCACAATTCACAAGTGACAAAGTTACCCTTAAACGCCATAACTAAATACCAATTTCAGAAATATTTTATGATAACAAAAAAAATAGTGTACCACCTACCTATGCACAGTATAAGCTCTAGTGTACGAAATTAAAAGGCAGCAAATGCAATAGTATATATTATTGTTATTAATTATTTATTAGACATGTAATAAATAGTTTTGTACAAGAAAATATTTTGGTGGCCGTGGCCGGTGGGACTTTATTGTGTTTTATTTTAGTCATCTATTTCAACGCCACTGATTAAAGAATCGTCAAATTCCAATTAGTAATTAAATAACAATACTGTATACATACATACAGATACAAATACAACAATATTACTATTTACAAATGTAAACAAATAGTAAAGAATTTTGTTTATATAGTTTATAGATCAAATCAAATGATTCAATGTATTTTAAAATTTGAAATGATTGAAAATTCAACACAAATATTATACAATATCATAACGCTTTTCTAATAAGTATAATTATTCAAACATTTTTTTTTTATATGATTGCGCAACGTTCCGATTTTATTAAATATTAATGTTGTTGTTGGCTAATAATAATGTTTGATTTAATGGGTGGACTGTATGGAGTTTGTAAATGAACAAAACGTTGGTGTTATTCTTTAAAAACTACTTCACTATTGAATTTCTTAAAATCTCTAACAGTACTAACTGGCCAGTGCTTACTTACTAAGGAGACAATAATATTGGTGTATAAACTTATTAACGAATAGCTATAATAAAAAAACATAAGTATAATTAATATAAATCTGGCCAGAAATCCGGTGGTATTGCGGTGATTCACTCGCTCGTAAACGGTTGATTTCAGACGACGGTGAAATAACAACATAAAAACAATATTAATAAAAGGCCGTGTTAATTAACGGTGAGCTCAATAGAGAAATTCATATATTCCCCATATTGACAAAAATATACGGTACCGGTAAAACAAATTAATTAAATTCCAATAAATTATACACGCGTATTTTCTTTCTTTGGCGATCGGTCAATATCGATAGAACAGAACTCACTTCAATACTGATTAAGAAAACAATATCTCGACCCATAGATAGATAAGTTATAAGTAGTACGGGTGGCGCTCTCATCTTTTACCTAACAAATAATTTGCAAAAACTTTTATTATGGAAACTATTATAGGTATTCATATTTGCCTTTTATCAAATTATTTTAAAGCAATAACAAACATTCTATGCTATTTTCCCCTATTAAATATTTTTTTAATCCCAATCTACTGAGTTACTGATTTAACATAGTATACTTCAGTTAATTTTAAAATCATTATATTGATGATCTTATGATTTGGCAAGATTCGTTGGACGCGTACCTCTGTACTCGCGATTGCTAAAAATGAACCATCAGTCAGCACATAATATTATCTGTGTGGGCATTGCATTTTAATCGTTTTAAAAAAATTTCAATACATGCCGATTGTGGGCAATTTAAAAAACGTGATAAAAATTCTTACTAGCTTGTTCGCCAATTTGTATATTCCAGATATTATAATAATGGGGGAAGTAATGCCCCACCAGGCTAGTTCCCCCCCCCGGGGCTCAATGGATACATGTAAAAAAAAAAAAAAGATATTATAATAATAATAAAATTAATAATCGAATGGCAATCGGCATAATATATGTTTTAAGAATGTTCAGTGGGAAATAAAAGTGAGATTTGTGACTCTTAAGTATGTTCAGCTGACCTCTGTCCAACCTTTTAACTAGTACTCACTTACTAGTCAATATTAATTAATTAATCAAATCGGGTTTATTTATTTAGTATTTTTTCCATGGAATATTAGACAATTTTTATTCACAACAGATTAGATTCCAACGAATCATTTAAGTGTGCACATAATGTAGGTATGTATTGTATTTTTTGGGTAAATAACTAAAATACGTTAAAAATTCGAATGAAATTAAAAATCAAACTCACGACCAACCAGATATTTTTGATCTGGTTTGATAGTTCTTTTGTAAAGAAAAATTTGAAAATCATATTATCATAACAGTCGATTACATGCCAAATTTATGTTTACTGTATTATTATAAACATGTATGTACCTATTGAATAAAACATTTTATTAATATGGTTACATATTGGCAGTACTAAAATATACAACATTTTTTACTTAATAATACAATTATTATTAAATTTAATAATAGCCTTTTTTCAGGCGGTACAGAAGTACCTATCTAAGATATTTTCATGTGCAAAAGTGTTGGACGTTATGTTATTATGTAGTTTTTCTGCTGATCATATTTTACCGACGGGCGACGGCGACCCTAAAAAATCACTAATATAAATTATAATAGGGACGATAAATAATATTATTATACGTATACATGTATATAATAGACATAAGCGTATAAATAAACGTATATTGGGAATCCCTGCGCATTAACTCGTGTGTGTGTGTGTTTGTGTACTGCGTTTTATGTGTGTATACGATCGCCCGCGTGCGTGTGCGATGCATTTCACGGCGGGCGGCGTGGGGGCCTGCGGGGGAGGTTATCCGCGTGTCGATTGGTCGACTCCCTGCTCTGCCCCGTGTGGTATGCGGCCGACCGAACGAGTCGACAAGTCCGCCGCGCGTGTTCCTGTCGTCGTCCGTCGACGTTTAGTCCGACCGAAACGCACGTAGCCCGTGTCTGCTGTTACCGCGCGCGTTGTTCAACCACAACCGCATCACATCTATACTCATACCCACACGCTCAGACAGTGGTCTGACCGAGAAACAAGCCGACGACAACGGGCCCAGTGATACCGAGTGCGCGCTAACAAGTGTCATCACGTATTATAATTATAATTATTATCATTATCGATATCGGCTGTCGGTAAACAAGAGTGTCCGGTCGCTTATTATTTATCTATATATAGTTATATGTACAAATATTTATTATAATATTATTGTTAATTTTTATTTTCGCTTCCTCTCCCGATCGATTCGGTTTATTGGCAATCTCGTTTTATTCGGAACACGAAAGCCGCGCCGATAATAATATTATTCAGTGATGGTGCGTTATCGGCGAGCCGCGGCCAAAGGTAGCGTTCCGGCGGCGCCGGCTACCGTACGCCGGCCGCCGCGATAAGCGGTGGCGGCGGTGTGCGCCCCGACGAATATTATGCGCCGATAGTCCCGACGGCGGATATCTGTGCAGATTTGCTGTGTTCTTTTTCGATATTATATTTACTTAACTCGGCGAGTGCAATCATCTACCCCCGACCACACGGTAACCGCCGCTCAAGCCGCCGAGGCGATGCCGCACGCCAGCGAAGACGGAGTCGCGGCCGCCGGCGAGGACGCGTGCAGCTCGGACGAGCTGATCGTGTTCAAGGACGAGGACGGCGGCGAAGACGTAGTCAAACGATCCTCGGACAAAGTGACCGAGGAGAAGTCCGACCTGATCGACTTATCAGAGACTGAGGTAAACAAAAACAAAACCTATACCGACGCGCGATAGTCGTGACGATTCTCTCCCCGTCAGTGGTGTTATTATTATTATGTGATGATATTCGGATGGCGTTAATTGGTAAAAAAAAGTCGGTCGGAGCCGAGGATTATCGTTATTGTATGTATTTTGTCCGCGGCGAGTCCAATTATAATCGGGCGAGGGGTTGTTTCACGTTGAACAGGTGAAAACAGGTGTGTAACACCATTGTTAGACCCCTCCGGCCTCCGCCGCCGCCGACCCGTCCGAACCCGTGATTATAATAATAGCCCTGCTTCGTTGAATACACATACACACACTCTCACGCATTAACTAGGCGTAAAAAAATAATAATAATTCATATTCGATCGTTTTTCTCACTCTGGTGTGTTTGTTTGTGTTTTCGAACAGTGTGTGTAAGCGAGAATGAGACAGATAATATTTTGCGCGGCAGACCGAGACGATGTTAATTATCCGGCAGGATTGTCGTGTAGACTGTAGTGTGTGGAGAGAGAGAGAGAGAGAAAGATGGCTACGGGTATCGCATTACCCATCGGCTCCGTCGTCGCACCGTAATGAATTCAATTAACTGTGTACGGAATAATTTACACAAGTTAGTGGTAGGTAGTTGCACGCAAACATGCACACTTGTCGACACCTAGACGCGCCCCGTCAATCATCATCATGACTATATTATTATTATAAACGCATTTAATCGGGCGACAACTAAACCGCCACCGGCGCGAGGTCGTTAATTAAAAAAAATTATTATTATTTTCCTTAATAACCGGGTACGTTTTCACACCGGAGCACGTGCGTTTACGCGTTCATTAACAAACCGCCGGTAAGAGGTATATAATACTAAAAATAGCGGAATAGAGCTGATGTTTTTTTTCGCAACGTTTAAGCCATTGTCAGTCGTTATAATAATAATAATTGTCGAGCCTTCCCGATGGCGCGCAATCCACGGAGTAACAACATTTTACTTTCATAAAATAGCGACGATAAATATAAAAATTAGTTTTATAACTTTTTAACAGACATTGTCACATGAAATGATTAAAATCATTGGATTGTCCTAAAATTATCGTTTGGACGGCAGTGGCGTTCTACGTACACTGAACATGCGGTCTGCTCCGCTGAAGCCATAATAGTAATAATCATATAATATTAAAAAAGAAGAAACAGTTCAGGATAAATCCCAAACTAACTCGACGCAATGGCAAAATATGCTGTAATGTCTTAGTGTCGACGTCGCCGTCGATGATTTTGACTTGACAATAAAATAGAAACCCTCGCGATATTCAATAGACGGTAGATAGTATTTACATATAAATATATTATAATAATTTGTGTACAATGCAAGATTTTCGGAAAAACGCCTAAAAAGAACTCAAAACGGCCCCGTTATTATCGCAACTCGTCCGAATATACGAGATGTGCTAAATACACAACAATAGCAACATTGCTCAGAGGTGTCATTGTGTGTGTGTGTGTGTGTTTCTCTTATTAAACCGACCTAGGCCCCCGGACGATCGGGTATTTTTTCCTCAGAAATCGGAATAATAATTGTCGGTTTACTTTTGTGTGCCGCGTTCTCGTTTTTATCACCCCAAGAGTATAATAATATATTCGTCACAATAGTAAACACGCCGAACTGGCGAACAATAAAAAGGCGAGCACCTTGTTCTGGGATTGAGAGATCCGCCGTGGTCCTGTTTAATAATATTTTGTGCGGTCACAAAAAGAAATTACAGAAAAGGGACGGACAGAGACGAAAAAACGTTGTTGAACACACACACACACATAATATACACACAAAGAAAAATGCCGAGGAAATATAACATCAACCCTAACGCGCCCGTTTTGTTGTGTTCGACGAACCTGTTCCATTTGTGTGTGCACAGGGATTATACGACGGATCTCTGCGGGTACATTGTGTGTATGGTGTGTCCTTCGTCCTGCCCTCATCTACCATGGTGTCAAGGAATTACACGATAAATTATTATCGCGACCTATCTTTTTTTTTTTTTTTACATTATAAGAATTGCACCACCCACGCCAATAAGGGAATCATAGGTTTTCGGGGAAACAAACGAAAGCCGGTAAACTTCGCGGTATCGTTATAGCTCTAATAATAATAATAATAGACCGATAAGTAGTCGTACCGGGTCTGTCGGAGAGGCGGTGGCCGACGGGTGTGACCACTCTGGTTAAGGGGGTTTTTTTTTTACTCGCGTACAAACAATAACCGGTACCATTAGAGCACACGGTGGCTAATAATAAGAGTATTCGTCGATGATTGATAGTAATCGCGAGCACCGCGATGATAATAATAATAATAATAATAATAATAATAGTAATATGATGCGGAGACGATGATTGGCGCGCGCTTTAATGACTGGCGGCGGTGGCTTGTAATCTCTGTAGGATTGCATCATTCTAAGAAAACGGTGTCGGACCGAAGAAAATGAAGATTCGATTAAATAAAAAAGAAAAATTCCTTTACGGGAAATGTCCATACCGGGGAACGGGACAGGTTGTAGTTTTTTCCCCCATACCGGAATTTCCAACTCCTCCGAAGACAATCCTTTCCCGGCGCAGTCTTCGTTGTCTCCGAATTGAAATTCAACTTTGAAAATTCTCGACCGGTTTGAATAATGATAATAATGATACAATTATTGGCGACGTCCCAGGTACAAAACGGGGAGGATCGCAACGGTTACCGGGCTCTCCGTGGGGGCGCTTGGGTCCGTCGAATTGTATTAGGCGCCAGCAGCTCAGCAGGAAGAAGAAACGCGATAATATTTTGTCTAACTTGGGCGCTTCGCCTTCGCCATATTAGCACATATATCATTGTCGTAATACACACACATACACAAGTCCTTCCTCGCCACCTCCCATCTACTCCCAGAATACGTTGTGTAAATGTACCCCAATGAATCTATCTAACGCTCTTTGTTTTGTTTTTACAGAAAGTCAGTTCGAATCATCGGTGTTCGCCTGTGAAAACCAACAGTTCTACACCTGATCTCAACCGAAGTAAGTATTGAAACTAGGCTTATATTATTTTTTATGTTTGACATCCCGGTGGCCGGCTTACTTGCAATAGTATTTCGTTACAACATAGTTTGTAAAACATTAAAAACAGCGGCGCCTATCGGGACAATATTTATGAGGGGAGGCGTGTATTTTTATAATTTTTTTTTTAATATGGAGATTCAAATTTTATTTTTCTAGGGTCAAAACGTCTTTAAATCTTTTTGAATTTTTGAAAATAAATTTATACTTTATTTTTTTAATGACAACTACGACGAATGTTTTAGGAATGACCAAAATGATTATGGTCAATCTGTTGAATTGCGTTACTTCTTCAGTCGAAGACACTTTATCCGCTTTCATTCATGTTTACCTCACACAGTTAGAAAAACAAACTTTTTTTAAACACACACACGGTGTAATACAGCAATTAGAGGCCCATCGCGACCGTGGAGCCGCCGGTCCAGGCCTGTAATTAGGTACGCCGAGACGGCAGCCGCGAGCGACAACAATACTGCGGGCCCGGCACCTTGTTTCTTCGGCCCACTCGTTAGTCGTTATTGGCGCGCGCGCTCTCGCATAGGCATAAAAACACGGCCCGACCGGATAACCGGTGTAAATTTACATGATTTTCCTATATTATTTTAAAGACCGTGTCTAAATTATCGTGCTGGTCAAGCATTAACGAGACCGGGTGAACCGTCAAATGTGTGTGTATAGAAAATACATTTAAATAAAAGCGACGCGTCAATGATAAATAATAATAGCGAAAAAAATACCGGGAAAAAATAAAAACCAGTGAAAATATTCCATTAAACGGTTCATCGTCGGGCAAAGACAAAAGTGTACGCTGCCACCACGTGGTCCTGTTGGCCGTTGCGTGTTGTATGTGCGTATTTATTTAATATAATTTTGACTAGCGAGGGAAAAAAACCCCAAATCCTCCTTGCACAGGTACACGTCGCGCACTCCAAACATGTGTTGAACACTCTCGACGGGTGGCGGTTCTCGGAATCTGACCGAAAGAATGTCATTCTGGGTGGCTATGGTGGTATAGTATGGTGGTGGTGGAGATGGCGGTGGCGACGACGACCACGATGGGCGAGGCGAGGGACGGACGCGAAAAATATAAAAATCTCTTTTTCTCCCATTCTTTCTTGTTTGTACTCTACATAAATATGACCTTGAACGTTATTGTCCATCGACAAACGCATAATGACAGAAGAGCTAATAATAATAATAATAATAAAAGAGAGGTAGTCGAACCGAGCGCATTATAATAACCCGTGAGCGAGGAGTACCACCGGAGAGCGAGAGAGACGAAAGATGTGCCTGTAATAATTCTCCAGTGTGAGTATGTGTGCATGTACATACAATATATATTATATAAAATATATATGTATATACCGGTCTATACGTATAAACAACGCGCCTATACACGGCCAGTCTGGTCGGGCAGGGCTGCGCCGGGGCGGGGTTCCACAAGGCTTCCTAAACGAGGCTCGTTTTGTTTTTTGACACCGGACCCCTCCCCGCTCCCACCGATGCCTCAGCAGCAACAGCAGCAGTACTACAACAGCAATAGAGGTTTTACGCTTTCTTTACACCCCCTCCGCCGCCGGCCGCCCCGCGTGCCGACTTCCCGACGACGACGACGACGATGGGATCTTAGTGTTCACCATAATATAGCCTGTGCGGTGGTGCTCCGCTGACCGGCTATCTCAAGCAGCGCTCGTTAACCAAAACTATACACGACTACCGCACACACACACACAAATACACATTAGATGGAGTGCCGCCGTTGCGGTGTTGCCAGGTCATCGCCGACCGACCGACAAGAGAATCTTTAGAGATTTATTATATTGTATATAATAATAACAATATAATTACCCAACGCACACGATGGGGTGTTGTGTATATGTATATATTATTGTCACATGGTCTTTCCCGTGTTGCGACGACGTCACACGTTGAATGGAGTTGGGCAGTGAGAGGAGAGTGGAGACAGACAACAGGGACAAAACAAAAAATTTGGCGGAAAAAAAATTAACCATCGGGCGGTCATCGGGGTACATATCTTGTTTGAATACAAAAAAAAATCAACTAGGAGTTGTAAAACAACAATAATAAAAATACTGGTTGGTAGCTATTCGAAATCAAATATAATTTTCTCGCATAACCAAAGGAACGATCAATATTTGCATAATAAAGTATAATATATTACCTATATGTAGTATTGGTATAGCGGCCACAGTAAACTATATTTATATTATAATATTATGTAAGCGATGCGCTTCGGGACAGCAAAATTTATTTATGATTTATTTACACAAATTCGATCGCGGTCCGAATGAAAATGTAAATTTATTAAGTCTAGTTAAAAAAATAATTATGACGACTGTTGCGAATTTAACCGGTTGTTTCTCGTCGAATAAATAATATAAATAAATAAAAAGCAAACGTTTAATATATTATTTTCCTCGTTAGCGTGTATTATATGTATATATTGGCGCGTAATGAAAAACCTATTTGAATACACATTAACGTCGAAAGCGATGCGTAAATTATAGTTCTCGGAAAACAAGGTCGTCTGAATAATTGAATCCAATGCGTTTGATAATCAGACGTGCCAGTGGTTTGTGTGTGTATGCACGTTACTCAGTGTAAGCTACAGGTTTTTATTTCCATGTCTCGGTAAAGATTTGGCCGTAGGTTTATAATGTTTTTTTTAACACACTGTTTAATAATAAAAAAAAAAGTAAAATGATTACCCTGGGTTTGAGTATTATAATATTTTCTGTTGTTTTAAGATGGAAAATAACCGAAATTAGTTAATTACAATTTACGAATACAAATTCTTGTTTATAACTATTATTGTTTCAAATTGAAAGGCTCCGAACAACAACCGGGTAATTCATTTGTGTCAACATTTGCTTTTTCGTGGAAAAATGTCCATAAAAAATGTTATCTACGATTTGGAGCCACAAACTATTACTAACAAAGATATTATCACAAAAGGCGTTTTTCCCGTCTGTTGCAGTGAATGGGATAGATAATTATTCCCCTTCGGTCGTCCTGGAAAAGAATTTTACATTGTGAATTTATCTGAATGTTGCTCCAAGTCTATCAATTAGGTATGTCCCTTTGTCTATACCAAAACCTGTTAATTGTAATTAAAGAACACTTATTAGTCACAACTTTTAATTACCCCAAACAAAAAAGAAATGGGGAAAAAAGTGTACATTAATCAAAGTCTATCGATTTTAGTTTTATTTCGTTTGCTCGATTTTTCCCTTTCCAAAAAAAAATTGTATTTATATTTTTTCCGTCAAGGATGAATTCCTTTTAGTCCATTTTGTGGTGAATAGTAACTAACACTCTTTACCGCGTATGTAAAAATGCTTAACCTATTCGTATTGTTTGAAAACTCAAGACGTGTATAATATATAGTAGTACAGTACTTAGTGGTCTCTCGAGTATTTTTTTTATGTAGTTCTCTTGAGGATAATTAGGTTCTTCACCGCCACCGTCGCAATATGTATACTTACACTAGCTCTCTTATTCGTTTCACTCCCCGACCAGTCGTCATGGCTGTTGGGCTTATTTTTATGTAGGCTTAAAATTTAAAAAAAAATGTATACTCTATTATGTGTACTCGAGTTATGCTGACATTGTGCGTTAATAAGGGGAAAAAAAAAGAGTTTACTTTTGACGCCTGTCATTCTACAGTTTGCGTTTTTTTTTTTTTTTTATATACCGGTCTTGTGTATTTGGAAGCTGCGATCGATATACAACCGATTATTGTTTTTTACGGTATTAATATTTTTGTTCATTAAAATATCATTGTTTGTTTCAGGTAAACCAGGTCCAACTCCCCACCCGCCTGCTTTCAATATGGGTTATCTCGTCGCACCATACCCATCGCCCTACACGAATGGCACTACGTCTGTGTCAATGGTAAGTACCGAGTTTCAGTCACAATCAATTAAATTAATTAACAGTCATTAAGACATTAAATTGCATGCCAAAGTACACCGCGTATTATACCTTATTTATGTATAAGTCATCAGATTAGTTCATGATAATATATCGTAATCGTCCAACGTTGTTGGGTTTGAGGTGGTAAACCAATGACTTTTTCAGGCTGACCGTCTTCTCGACGGTTTAAAGAACATTAGGTCGTAGGCGGTTAAGTTAGGGCCAAGAAGATGTTCCCTCAGCTTATATGGAAACAAAAGGGTATAGGGTATGTAAAGTGTAAATGGACAATTACAGATGAGTACATGAAGTTGCTCCCATCGTTTAAAATTTGTCAACAAATAAATTTAATACCCGAAAAAAAAAAATTGTTCATATTTTATCAAATTAAAATAAAGCTAAACCACAAGATTTACCTCTAACGGCTTATCAAAGCTTGTCGATGAACAATGTTCAGCGATTGTACGACATTGTGTAATATTATATAGTTTCAGTTAATCGAGATGGATTGTATTAAAAAAAAACATAGTTACCTCGTTTTAATTGCCTTTAATCTTTGGCACTCCCATTTTTTGATAACAGTTGTCGGTTATTTTTCGTTGCTTATGATAACAACAGAGTAGACCTATCACTCGTGATTTGACCCGGAGAAGATGGTTTTGTTCTTTTTATACTATTCTTATTATTAGTGCGTTATTGAGGTGAGAGGTGTTCTATAATCGGTCGTGATCTCGACGCTTCTTTTATATATTTTATTACAATTTAATTTATTTTTTGCGTTGATGTTGGACTAGGTAAACAACATTGTAAGGAGATAAGCAGTCGGGGCCGTCTTAGGCTATGCAGGGACCCTTGGACCCCTTGGACACACATAGTTTGAGAAAACTAATGATAAATAAATTTAAAAAAACGTAATGATGTAATTGGGGGCCTCGAATAATAATTCGAGGTCCCCATCAGGCCGTGGACCCTGGCCTCATGCCCAACTCGCCTTTAGGATAAAGGTGGAACTGTTAGCAGTTTCGGGTTTTGCCCTGCAAAACTGCAAAACCGTCCAAAGCTATACGATAATATACATGTTATAAAATTAAGCGTTGAAGGGTTTTGTGTACACATTTAATACGGTTTTTGAATAGACGCCCGTGTGTTTTTTTTTTTAACAACTCGCCTCGTGCATTAGCAAATTATGGTAATTCCTGTGAAAGAATCAAGTACAATAGCGCGGAGTGGCGTTGTTGTTTCCTATACAACAAAAAAAAACTTAAGTTTGCCTCCTCAATCGTAACCATTATTTTACCTAAAAATATGCCCAAAGGTATGCGTCGTTACGCAATCGCCGCGGTCTAACGTGCCGGTGACTACAATCCTTAACTACGTGTTACTTATCATCAGCGCTGTTTAAGACATACATGGTGTAAATATTAAATTTGTTCCAAGCAAGAGAGACGGAGAGGAGATAAAAATAATTTTACGACAATCCAGTGGGCGGAGGGGAATTTCTGTATGAAGCATAGGGGCTGTCCTTGCATTCACCTACTAATAATTAATAGCTTTTATTTGCATTTTATTATTTAATATTATTAGGGGACAAGTTAACTACCGAGATTCGTCATTTTGTACAACAGCTATATTTTAACCCCGAGCAGACCCTTGGATTAAACAAATAATGTGTTCTTATAATTATTTTACTCCCACGGGTCAATAGTCTGAATGCGCATTTGTACTTGGTCGTTTTCGGACGGTAAGCCATATACAAAGGTACCCATCGGTCACCAATTACATTAAAAGATCACTCCTTAATTATTTTCCTGGATAATGTGGGTTCTCCATTCTACGTATTTTTTTTCTCTGGTCAGACTTGTAGAGAGTATTCGATGTGTGTGTCAAATCGTTGTATTCTGTTTTTTCTTTGAATAAACCGATTATTTTATTATTTGTATAAATCGCACGTTTGCATAATATTATAGCATTATAATATTAGCGGCACAACAATGGCAACGTCCGTTTTATTTTAATAATCCGCTATTATTATTGACTTGGCGGTTATCGATTATGTTTTTTTTTTATTCTTATAGATATAATAAAAATAATAAGCATTATTATTATGTAATTTTTTTTAAAATTATAATAGTAACCGATAACGGCTTTACATTAATTATTATTTCATCCGGCGGCGGCTAGTTTATGTTTGCGGAGCGCGCGCGCCCGTAGTCTGGACTCTGGTTAACGCGGTAACGGAGGCGGCGGGCGAGTTCGGTATCGTGAGCTACAAACAAGGCGGGTAATTTGCCGATGACAAGAGGCCACCGGTGGCGGGCGGGGCGGCGGCGGCGCTTGACACACACACACATACGCGCGCGCGCACAGCCGCCACGTCTTGCGTGTCCCCGACTAAACACAACACAATACAGCTCCGTGTATTGCCTACCCTCCCCCTACTTTACCTTCCCCTACGACCGCCGTCGTCCCCACCATGGTATGACGATAATCTAAAACCGCGGTCGGCACCCGCTGCATAAGCCGACGCGGGACAAAAACTGGTTTGCTCGTCGCAGCCCGCCGCCGTCGTCGCGTCGCGGGTATGGCCGCCGTGTACGTGTATGAGTCGACTTACGGTAAGATTCGTCGGGGTGGACGACACTGGTTTTTCGGATCGGACAGACTGGACGCGCGGCGCGAGGTGTGGCATACCTGTTGAGTACGCGCGCTATATAGCCTTGAAGAAGAACAACCGGCGGCGGCGTCGTCGTCGTCCACTTATAGCTATTGTGTGTGTGTGTGCGTGTATGTGTGTATTGAACGGTGTTGCCGGACTTCCGACAACCCGGGCTAACTATGTTACTCGCGCGCGCACACACCGCACCTCGTTGCAGCGTAATCGGACGTGATTGACCCGAACTTGGACTTGTTCTCTATGTGGCGGCGGCGGACGCTATTATAATATTAACAAGCAAGTAATCGTGTACGGTCCATGGAAACGATTTGTTATGAGAAACGAGCATGGCGTGAGAACGACGGAGAGCCGCTAAAATAATAATATATTTAATACTTAATAATATCAACAATAACATAATGTACGGATGACTGGGTAATGCGTTCTGTGAGCGACTATCACAATATTATTGTTGCGCTTGCTAGGATCATTTATGTACTAATTTAAACGGTATTAACCGAAAATAAGTATACTTAATCTTGTTCTGCACTTAAGTATAGGTATAAGTAGTCGGGTTAAAAGTTGATATATGTTAGTCACGGAGTTGTTTGGATTGAGTTAAGATCTGATAGGGAGTTGATCGACTTAGTAAGGTGTTGTAGAATCTTATGCTGTCAACTACTTGTGATACCAAATACATAATAATGCAATTAATTATTGCACTACCTAGACATTTTTAACAACAGTGATTCAATTTTTTTTTTTATGTATCATAATTTATAAAGAATGAATTTTTTTGTCGGTAGCCATCCCTGATTTTCATTCTGTTATACCAAGTAAAATTGGATTAAAATAGTCGAATTGGACGTGACATAAACTGAAGTTATTTCTGTTTTTCCGATTATTACTTTTGTTCTTCTGTTATTGTTGTTTAACTGCAGACATCGCGTCAAGGGCTACTACATTGTCTATTTAAAATTAAAATACATATTGTATAATGTATTATACTTTTAGTTCACAAGATATTGTTCGCCTAAATAACATAAATAGTTACCATCTAGTTACTGTTCGAAACGTTTAATACAGGTGAAACTTTAATGAAAAGCGTTTAACGTTTGGTTATTCCTATAAATAATTTATAATTTGGCGTTTTTTTTTGTATATAAAAAGTATCGAAAGGTTACATCCTATGCGTCGGATGTCCTAAAACGTGACCAGAGTTTTTTTTACCGTTTTTACCTTGTCTTAGCATAATATAATCTGTGTGAGAAAAATGACGTTATGTTTAACTCGGTGAGAATTGGCAATTTTTACTTTTCAAAAGTATGCAAAGAGTTCAATTGTGTTATTACATCCGAGTTATCCAATTAGCTTAAACTAATTGTTTGATAATCTATTTAAAATTTCGAAGTATTATTATCGTGATTCGTACTGATTCGTGCATCAAAACTACTCAAAATTGTCGTCGAAAATAATAGATAAACACTCGACCAAAATTACCTTTGTATTAAACCTTTTTTTGAACTATAAAGTCTGTTAGAATCCACAGAGTTGTTCTTAACGGAAGCACTAAATCCATCTCTAGGAAAAAATAATAAGTAAGCGCACCGAAAACAAGTAGTAATTTTACACGCGCATTATTGCAACCATGATAACATTTATTACTACTATTATTAATAAAACTTGTTTTATAATTATTATTATGTTCAGTTCGAATCTGCCGATTATTATATGGCGCTCCGAGCTAAACTACATTAAAAAAAAAATGTATACATCTATAGAATTTTCTTTTAACGCTCCAGTGGAACGGGAAGACCCTATTGGGATATCCTTTAAAAAAACACAATGCAAAAACTACACAACCGGCGTTTAACAATTTGTAAATAAAAAAATCTATTGAATGGTTACTGTCGTCGATACGGTGCGGTAATGCGAATATACCAGTTCGCCGTCAATTTTTGTAATTATTATTTTAATAATAATAATATGTTGGACGAGATTGGTCAGGATGCCTATATAACCAGTTTAGTCACAGCTGTCGATGTTGTTCAAACACTTACTATAAAATATGAAATTCGCTTTAGCCGTTTAAAATAATGTTGTTAAGTCATTTGGGGCCGACGTGTTTACGACATTGACCTTGTCCCATCCCTTTTAGTGTGTACACACAAAATATACATAAAAAATCCCCTTGATACCCAAATCAAACAGTTTGGTAGGTCTTATTTTATTACCATGCAGTATGCATTATAAGATTTTGTCCGTAAAAATGATTTTCAGATATAAGCGGATTACAATTTACATCCAAATAAATATATTTTAGGGT